TAACAAAAAGTAGTTTGGGCTTATAAAAAAATAATTTTTGCCCAAAGTATTTGGGCAATTTCGGCTACTAATAGAAGCAGTTTCGACCAGAAACCTTAAGCATGACCTAATTTTGGTTTAGAATAATTACAAATTCTTAATAGGAAATTATATAGTTATATTGAATTACCTTAGATGATTTCTAGTAGATTTATTTTCCTAAAATTATATTTGCAGACAATTTATTAAAGTATGCAGAATATTTACTTAAACAATGAAATACTTTAAAGAATCACTTTTCCAATTGTAAATGAAGAAGAGAGGTTCTATCCTGCAAATAATTTTATATTACCTTCAATTAAAGAAAAACATAGAAGATTCAAGGAAAAGAAGAAAGTTCAATGAAAGTGGGAAATATGAATACAAAGGGTTGAGAAATTCAAATAACGCGAATCTCTGACTAGTGGATTAAATAATATTCTTAAGGTATCTATTAACTTGTTCATTTTACATCTTAATAAAAATGGTAGGACGACATATCATGTATCATGAAATCACATGCGTTTTATCTTTATTTTCTAATGCACAGGATCCCTATCTTCGCGAATCAGCGTGACCTGTGACATTTTTCTTTGCGAATTATAGTGTAACCGGTGACCTTTTTTTCTTCCTTATTAATGCGAATATAAGGTGGGCGGTGACTTTTTTAAATTTTAAAGTACTTTTCGAATCATAGTGTTGGCGGTGACATTCAATAGAGTTTCCCGGTCCTGTTTCGCCAATTATGTGTAGAAATCTATTAGTGATCTGCAGAGATAAAGTTATAAAATTTTCCCTCAAAATGGAATCTCCCGCCTCCGTATAATCAAAATATCAACACACATAAAAACAGTAATTTATTTTTATTCCCAAAAGTTTATATTTATTCTAGTATATATTGTGGATATTATTTATAACAAATAATAAGAGCTTTAATAAAAAAATGGATTTTAAAAACAATAAAAGATAATGACCGACATATTTATATTAAATATAAAAAAACTAAACTTTAGGCAAAAAATTTATTGTTTAAAGGTTTTTCATAATAAAAACCCATATTCTATATGTTTAGTACAAAACAAAAACAAAAAATAAATCTCTCGATGCTTTTAATATTTCAATTTTATATGTAAAATCCTTGGAATCTGATAATGCCCAATATAAAAAACAAAAGGTTATAATAATACAAATTTTTTATATTTTCGGAATCTGAGATTTATTCTACCAAATAAAAAAAAGTTGAAAAACAAATTTTCTAATTTCTCTTTTGTATATTAGATTCTTTTTGATTTTTTTAAATAGCAAAAAACTTTTATTTGCTTCTACACTTAACAAGTAGTAAAAGAAAACATTATAAATTTTCTTCTCAATCCTTTTTTTTCTTTGTCAATAAAAAAAATGCAATTCATCAATCACATGCATGAAGTAATCTTATAATTTTAATATAATAAACCTTCAGTTCACTAAAATTTTTTGGGAAGAGAGCCCAGCAAGGAAGTCTCAAAGCGGGCTTCTATAGCTATTATGAAAACGGCTCATGTTAACTAGAGAAGCTCCCTCGCCCTGATAATACTTTCTTCTTATACTCTTACTACTTGTACCACTCTATTTTTTTGGAGGGAACTAAATTTGAAATATGGTTTGTTTGAAGGCTTGTATTTTTTACCAGCGATTTAATTTTTCATTCTGATGTCTTTTCTTTTTTTTACAATAGCATAAATATCATATAAAATCAGCGAAACTTGTATCTTTTATGTAATTATACATACAAGACTATTTATCATGATGAAAATAAATAATTGCTTGCGTTGTCATTATTAATATTAACAAGAAGTGTGAGAAAAGCAACACAACTATTGGAGATCTCCTCTCTCTCTCTTTCACTCTTCACCCCATATGGAAAACTGCTGCATACACTTGCTCAATTTGAAAACACCAAACAATTCGATATGCAACGTTTGTATTTTGAATTATTGGATGGAAGCTTATAGTTAAACCATTACAATCATTCCATCTTCCTCGTTACATAAGGCTAATCTGACTTGATCCCTGATGATATGATGATGCAATCAAATTTCAAGTGAGGCAGCGCGGCCTTGGTATTTATTGATTGCATCATTGTAAAGGAAACTGCTAAGGTCGGCATTGACATTTGGCGGCTGTTTAACCAGTCTTACATTTGGCCACTTGCTTACAAAAAATGGCCAAATAACCATTTTAGCCATTGGCTAACCACCACCACTATTGAATCACTCTTTTCAAGTCAATGGGTAACTCTTTAAAACGACTAGCTCTTGCTTGGGTCATGCATGGATTACAACTGATGATAATTTGTGGAAAATCATTAATTTTTCACTGTCCTTCAAATGACAACACTGCTAAAGCCTCTTGCTTGTACAAAGCAATATCGTTGGATTACATCATCTACGGGAAATGAAAGATCTCATGATCAAGAGCACCTTATTCCATGTTTGTGATAGGAAACTGACACCTGTGATCAATATCGATTTTTTTTTTTTTTGGAAATTATTTTAAGGAACCTACAACTTGTAATTGTTGTATGCATGTATATAGCTGCACACAAAAAAAAAGGAAGCCAAGCAGAGACTTGGCCACTACCACTTGAAAAGGCAATGGAGCCCCTTCACTAGTTGAAAAATCAATCAAATTCAAGACTTATTTTTGGATAGTGTTTGTCTTACGTGGAAAAGATGCCAAGATTAAAATATCAAGCAAGGGCTTATTTTCCAATTCTACCAATTTTCTCACCTTTTTCTTGATGAGACATTCATTATGTGTGTGGCCTTTTTCCTTAAAAGTTTCATTTCTTATCCTGGTAGCAAGCATTATTATTACTTGGAAGATGTGATTTGTCGATTTTATTTATTTAATCAACTCTGCAAATTTAATACAATGGTATCAAATTTGAATATCGTAATAGACATAATACAATAGTGAGGACAAAGGTATTCATTCTCAAGGAAAGGGTCAAAAAGATAAGTTATGTTTATTTAACCAAGAGAAAAAAATTACATTGTGATTTTTATAAATATTAAATATTTTAAAAAATATAAACCACCCACCAGAGCAATTGCAGGGAAGCCGTTAATGAATATTATCTATTCTTTAATCACTCTATTATATATTTTCACTATTACTATTAACAAAATTGCTATATTAGCATCTTCTTTGTCTTTTGTATCATCCTTTTCTATTTTTTATTCTTTTAGCTTCTATCATTTTCTTTCTAGATTTTATTTTTCATTAATAAAATTGATAAAAGAAGACAGCAATTTCATTTGTTTCTTTTTCAAGCAATTCACAGATTTCAATTGCCATTTTACTGAATCTCGTTCATCATTGGTTTACTCAATTTACTTTTTGATTTGACTTTTACATACTCTATTGTATTAATTCATTCCTTGGCTGATACTATGGAACTGGTTATTGTGTATTTTATAATGCATTTAAAAAACAAGTGACAAACAAACACATTCAACAATATGTGGGAGAGTTTGCTGATAAAGGTAATAATTTTTTGTTAAATTGTTATTGATGTTTGCTTTTTAGTTACTTATAATTTAAATCAATTATTGGGTACATCATACTTTAAACTATTTTTGATGATATTTTATTTATTTACAGATTGGCCCATATATTTGTAAATTAGAAGAATTTACAAAGCTAGCTAGCAATCAGAAACGAACAATCATTTCAAAACAATTCAAAAATAAAATACACAAAATTAATTTCTTTTTTTTTAAATTTTTTTTTCTTTTTTCTTTTTTTTTTTTGCCTCTCTCCTCTTTTTTTTATTGTTTCAAATTTTATTAAAGTTTTTTTTTAATATATATATAAATGTAAGATATATATTAGAGAAATAACAAAATAAAAATAAAAGAAATAATATAATATAATATAATAAAGAAGAAAGAAAAAAAATAAATCTTAAAATATATAAAATAAGAAACAAAGAAAAAGAAAATTGTTCATTTTTTTTAAATCAAAAAAAATTATTATATAATTAGATGATTTGTGTAAGATGAGGTGTTTGATGGGTATAAAAAAGAAATATTCTTTTTTCTTAATGTAGTTTTTGAAAGTATATAAATATATTTTGGATATATATATATATAATTGTTATTGATTGATTGATTGAGATGTTTGTTGATTACACACACACTATGTATAATAGATAGGGAAGAATATTTATGAATCGACGGAATAGGATGGTGGTGATGGTGACGGCGAATTGATTGTGTAAGGGAATGAATGTTAGTATATAAAAAAAATAAAAAAAAACACAAAAAAACAACTAATAATTAAATATATATATGTGTATATATATATTTTATATATATTATATAATAAAAAAATAATATATAAAATAATATATAAAATAATAAAAAAAACGAAAAACAAAAATAATATTATATACATGTACCCTTTTAAAAAAAAATAAAAAAAGAAGGAAAAAATTATAAATGAAAGAAAAAAAAAATTTATCAAATTTTTTTTTGGTTGTTGTTTTGTATTTTTTTGTGTTTCTTTTTTTTTTTTATATTTTTTTTCTTTTTCTTTGGTTTTTTTATATTTTTTTTTCTATTTTTTCTTTTACTCCACACTTTTTCTTTCTTGCCAGATCGATCCCTCCTTTTCTTTCTATATTGTAAAAATTTTAATAAGTATAAAGATTATTGATTTTTTTTAAAAAACATCCCAACAATAAAAAAATTTATTTGTAAGAAAAAAAAAAGTAAAAAGAACAAGAACAAAAATTATAAATTTTTTTGTCTAATCCAGTAGACGCAACTTATTCAAACTATATATAAATATATAAAAGATAGCTATTACTAAATCCCAACAAACAAATTAATGAAATTACTGAAATTACTCGTCGAAAGAAAAAGAACCAAAAATAAATAATCATACATGATCTCTACGCTTTAATTTTTAATTTAATTGTAATTACCTTAATTAGATTAAGATCTCTTGGTTTGTATAGGTTTTGATAATGATGGGAGAGATCTTGTTGACAGAGTAGTATTAGATGGTAATGGTCTTGTTAAAGGAGTTCTTCTGGCTTGTTGAGTTGCAGTGGATAATTTCTTTTGTTCAACAGCATTTTTGGTGATACTTGAAGTGTTTGGGCTAACCGGTTTTTTTGAAGAATTAGAAATTGATGATCTAGCGCCACCGCGTGTTGATGATGACAAAGTTGAAGTTGTAGAAGCTGATGAAGGTCTTCTTGTCCCTTTTGGTCCATTATTGTTATTGCTGTTGGTTGAGTTCTTGTTATTAATAATACTGCTTCTTTTCTTTAAATTATCAATATCACTTGTGGAAGAAGATGATATAGATTTGGTTCTAGTTAATGATATGGTAGAAGGTGATGACGATGAAATTGTTGATAAAGAAGCAGGTCTTGGGCCATTTGATATGCGTCTAGTTGTTGGAACAGAACATAGACTACTTGATCTTGACAAAGTCTTTGACCGCAAAGAACCAACGTTGCTGTTATTATCACTAGCACCGCTAAGATTTGAACTTCTACGAATACGAGCAGAAGAATTTGTCAAACAGGACCTAGCAGTATCGTCACTACTACTTTCACCACTATACATAGAAGAGACTCTTGATCTAGGGGCAGTTTTTGTAAAGGATGATTTTCTGGAAGAAACGGGTTGTGGAATCTTTGATTTTATAAGGATCAATTCTTGTTCTTTTGCTTCCATTTTTTCTTTCAATTGAGTAACTTCGTCTTTCAGTTGACGGTTCATCTTTACAAGTTTAGCGATTCTAGATTCTTTCTCGGAATTTGTGGTCTTTGTATCTTCAATTTCTGTCTTCACCAGTTCAAATTCCTTTTCCAATTCTGAGATCTTTTTCTCGTATTCCCTGCAAGCTTCGATCTTGGTATTTAAAACCTTTTGTAGAGCGCTCAGACGTACCTCACTTTTGTTTGATTTAACATCTAGCTCGGCTTTATTTACAGATATGGCTGCAGTCGCAGCAGCAGTGGCGGCGGCATTAGCGGCGGCATTTTGAACCGTGAGAGCTTGTTTAAGATGAATAACTTCTTGTCGTAAACTATTGAAGGCTTGCTCTTGAGCTTTCAGTTTCTCGTGACTTTCTAAGGAATTTCTAGAGGCATCTTTATAACGTCTTTCTAAATCTTGTAATTTTCTTTCTTTCTGAGCAAGTTCTTGCTGTATTTCGTAAAGGTTATTTTCAGCTTCTTTGTATAATTTTTTGTATGGTTCAAGTTCTTTGTATTGTTTTTGCAATTTTTCAACCAATTCGATTTCTTGATTTAATGATTTGTTTAGTGATTTGATCTCATCATCTTTATCTTTAATATCAGCATCAATGTTTTCTACTCGTTGAGTCAAATCATCAATGATGTAATCTTTTTGTCTTAATTGTCTCAATAGATCATGTGGTGCATGCTTCTCTCGTAATTCCGCAATAACTTTTTGTGACGTGTCTAAACGAATGTTCAATGTTTCGATCATGGCGTCTTTTTCGTTTAATTCTATTTCACGTTTTTTAAGGTCCTCTAGTTGGGAAGTTAACTCATCGATGATTTTTTGTTTATCGAAGCATTCAGTTTCTATTGATTGATATTTTAATAAATGAGTAGTTATGACCTCGATAGTTTTATCCTTTTCTCTTGACTCAGTTTTTACTTTGCGAGCGGTGATTTGTACTTGTTCGATTAATCTATTCTTCTCTTCCAAATCAGCCTCAAGCATCTTGATCGCCTCCAGATTTTCTTTTTTCTCTTCTTCAGATTGAGCTAAAGATGAAGATTTTGAAGCCACAATTTCTTGCACTTGACGTTGTTGTTGTTCCATTAATTCAGTCATGGCACGATTTGTAGCTTCAAGACGAGTTTCTAATCTTTCAATTTCAGCCTTTTTTTTTTTACATTCACGTTCGGTTTTCTTTGAAGCTGTTTGAAGTTCCTCAATCAATTTATTCCTTCCTTTAAGCTGATACTTGTATTTTTGTTCCATTGAATCTAATTGAAGTGATAGCGCAATTAACTCTTTTTCAATTTCGCTACTATTTGATTTGTTATTGCTGTGATTGTAGTTGTTACTGTTGGAAGATTGCTGCCATGAATCTATACTAGCATTATCTTCTTCTTCACTATAAACATTAGAATCAATATCGTTTTCGTCACTATAACCATCATAATTATTATTATTGTTATTATTATAATAAGCAAGTTCATCATTAAGTTCATGATTAAGTATCTCGTCAGATAATTGACCAAGTTTTCTATTACTATCTTTTACAAGATAAACAGAGGTGGCTAATACTTCTGCAACATCAATATAAGGTGAAGGTTTAGTAACATTGTTATTATAATTATCATTATAGTGATTGTTATTATGATTAAGGTTATTATTATGATGATTAAAGCTAGTACTACGTTTTAATTTTTTTAATTGTTTATCACCTAAACTAATGATGCTATTATTATTATGAAGATTGTTAATATTGGAATGTTTCGGGGATTGATGGTGATGATTAATATTATTGTGTGGATGATTATGACTATAATATTTTAAGGATTTTTCGTTATTATATGGTTGTAATTGTTGCTGTTGTATTTCTTTAGCAGGTTTATTAAATTGTTGTTGTTCATCGTTACCGCTAAATCGCAACATTTGAAATGGATTTACCTGTAGAGAGAAAGAAGGAAAAGAGAAAGATGTTAATATGTTGTTTTGTTAATTGATTGATAAGCAAATAGAAAAATAAAATAAATAATAATAATAATAATAATAATAATAATAATAATAATAATAATAATAATAATAATAATAATAATAATAATAATAAATGATAATAACAATAAATAATAATAATAACAATAATAATAACAATAAAATAACCTAGTATTTAAGTTTGTAGAAAAAAAGAATACGAAAAAAAAAGACAGGCAAGAAAAAATAAATGAGGGGAAAAAAAAAAGAAGTTATTATTTTAAATAAAAATTTTTTTTAGATTTACCCAAGAGTTAAGACTAGGTTCTGCCATGTGTACTACTGTAATTATAGATGATTGATGATGATAATATATATATATAAAAATATAGTAATAATAGTAGTAATAATAATAATCAAATATAATATTAGAAAATCAAAAGTCTCAAAAGTTTTGTTTGTTTGTATGTATGTTGCTGTATAATAAATAATATTTATTATTCGAATTAAAAAATCAAGAATAATAAAGGAGGTTTTTTTCGAGTTGTGCAAACTAAATAAAAAAATAAACGTGAAAAAGGGGATAGAAATGGATGCGAAGGATAAAGAAAGAAAGATGCGAGGGGGAGGGTCGTTAGTAACAAAGATGAGAAGAGGAGGAGGAGGACGAATAAAATCCTATATATATATTATATATTTTTCTAGGCTTAGTCTGCTGTATGATAATATTAATATTATTTATTACCTTTTCTTTATATTATTGGTTTCAGAGAATAATGAAGGACTTTTGTAGGTTTAAAAATATAAGATGCAAATCTAAGATGCGAATATATAAGATGTAAAGGAGTGAGTTTTTAAATTAATAATAATAAAAAAGAAGGCAGGTATAATTAATGATTAAATTAACCAATTAACTAATTAATTAATATTATAAAATGAGTAGATGATGTTAAGGGTTTGTTTTGGTGTGATTTGTTCAAGAAACGAAATTCAAATGATTCAAAAGAATAAAAAAGAAATAAAATGAAAATTCAAAAAAAAAAAACCAAAAAATATTCTCAAGCTTGCTTACCTCTTTAGTTGGTTTGGTTTTTGGTTTGGTAGTTTTAATAAAAAAAAAATTTTAAATTTATTATTATTATTATTAAATCTCTTTATATTATTACTGTTATTGTGATAATAATAAAATAATAATAATAATATTTTATTTTTATTTTTTTAAAAAAAAAACAAAAATAATAGTCGTAAAAATGATAGTGTGTATTTTGTATGTGTGTGTGTGTGTTGTGTTGTGTGTAAATGTGTTAAGAAAGTTAAGTAGGAATAAAAATAATCTTCCTTAATTTTTTTTTAAAAAAAAAAAGAAGTGACGTCAAGTAAAGTGAAAATTTTAGTAAAATGATTGATTGATGATATAAAAAAAAAATATATATATTCAATAAGGTTTTCGGCTAAAAAAGAAAATCGAGGTAACATACAATAGTTGAAGTATTATCCAGTAGTGAGAGAAATAATCGCTGCGGTTATAAAATAAATAAATAAATAAATAAATAAATAAAATAAATTAATAATTTGCTTATCCTTTTTTTCCGACAATCAATTATTTTTTATTCTACTACTATTATTATTTCTAGTATTACTATTATCATTAATTACTATTGCTATTATTGAGACCCTTTTTATTATTGTATAACAACGATAATAAATTATTATTTGTAAATTGTTTGAAATTTCCGTTAGGAAATTTTACAAATTAATTAATTAATTAACTGTTACGAAGAACGAGAGAAAGACATTAAGGAGAGAAATAGCGACGAATTGTGTTACAAAAATATAATTATACAATTTAAATTTAATTATTTGTGTTTTCACAATAAAATTCGATATTTTTGGAAAATAATAGAAATATTTAAAAAAAAATAAATCGAATCTTTTCTCTCACCTTATTGTTATTTTTTTGTTGTTTTGCTGAAAAGTCGACACAATTTAGATTGATCAATTGATGAATTAAGCGGGCTGTTATTGATAACTGATTCGATCGATGATTGGTGGTATATATTATTATTAGAGATATTATATATATTATTTGTATTAGTGTATGAATGGTAATATTGTTAATATGATTATTATTAGTCTATCTATATGTTTAACTAAATAAAAATAAAATTGTCTATATATTTATAATTAAATTAATTAATAAATTTAATAAAATTAAAAAAAATTTCAAATTTTTTTTCTTTTAAAATAAAAAAAAAGAAAGTGAAGAATAAAAGAATAATTATAATAATTAATATATTGTATAATAATAAGTATTTTTAATAATGTGATTATTATTATTAAAAAAATTCTTTTGTTTTCTACTTTCTTTGATTTGAAAAAAAAAAAGTTTTTTATAAAAAAGAATCATTATTTATATAATTTTTTTTTCTATATACCAATTAATAAATTAAGTGGTGTGTATGTTACATTGACTGAAATAAGGAATTTTAATTAATTAATTTAATTAAAATTATTTAATTTTTGAACAAATTTTGTTCGATCCAAGAAATATTTTTCTATTGAATTAAAATGAAATAATAGTTAGAGATTTATTCGGCTGAAAGATTAATCATCAATGATTGATTCGGGCTATTTTTTTATTTAATCAAGTTATTATAATTAACGAATCGGTTGGGTTATTGGCCTTTATATTGATTAATTATTAGTTGTTGTTGATGTTATATATAAATGTGTGTGTACATGTGTGCAAATTTAAATGGTAAAGAGATTGGAAAATAAAAAAATAATATAAATAAATAAATAAATAATAAATAGGTGAATGAAACTTTTATTTTTTATTTATTACATTTTTTTTTTTTTGTAAGAACGATAATAATTAGTAACAGTAATAGTAATAGTAATTAATCACTCAAAACGCCATGGGATTACTAATAATAATTATTTTAGTACAATGATTTAAATTTTTGTTATAATTTATTAAATGAAATAAAACATTTACATTTCATTCTATTAGAATTCCCCAATTCCTGATTATGTTTTTCATCCATGATCTTCTTTTATATAAATATATCGGTCATTCGTCCAAATGTTTATTTGTTATATATATTTCCTATTTTTTTGCTTTCTATATATTGTTTGCGTTGTCGTATACCTTTTCCTTCCTCAATTTCCTTTTTGTCCATAAACAAACAACCCAATTTATTTGGCACATTTGTCTGTCTATCATTTTTACTTGTAAAGATGAATTGATAAAAGAAAAATGCGGTAGCACAGTATATAAATAAATATATATCTCACATATATAAACAATTTAATTTTCTTTTTTTGAGGAAAATGCTCTCTCCAGAACTAATCGATAATCGGTCCCTCTATAGAGCATTCGTTATCATTTCCACTAGTAATAGTAACTTCAAATCCATATTAGTATTGAATTTGCACAATTATAATGTGATACACTGCATTTTGTACATATATATCTTTGAATTCTCGATTTGTGGTTTAAATGGCAGTCTGTCGAAAACGCAATTCTCATTCCATTTATCTTTTTATTCTTGGAAACTTCTAAAATCCATAATAATAACTGCCGATGCAAATAAACGATAACAATAGGATAAATCAACCAATCAAATTTGTATTTGAAAATACACACACGCTTACTTGTTCGAAAAACCTCGTTGCTCCGTATGTTGATCTTTCACAATGTGAGTGTTAAAGGTCTAGTTGATCATCTTTGTTTATATTCCTTGAATGTTTTTCCCTTGACGATAAATTAATTTTTTGCGTAATTGAAAGCGTTACATGCCACTACCACTCATGAAAGGAGGTTGCTTGTAGATTATTTTGTTTTCCGTATATTAGATAGATACTTTAGTAGGCTTTTGTGCGACCTCATGTCTACTTTCTCTTTTTTGTTAATTTCGTTTTCACGTTACACGTATCAACAGGCAATTTTTTTTTTATAAAAAAGTTAGTCATGTATTTTATGGAGTAATAATAATGCCGTTTTTCCATTGTTCCCTCCTTCCCCTTAAATATCTAATAAAATTAATTTAACCAATAATTTTAATTGTTGTTGGTTAAACTTCTACACTGCCCCACTTCACCACTACTGGTCCATCTTTGTTCATTGTTATTGCTTAAAATTTTATTATTGATATACTATTATTGATATTATAATCATCGTCATACTTTACATATTTATACATAAACTCTGAAATAAAAATAGAAAGAATAAATAAATAGTCCTGTAGGCATGCGTATGTGTTTTGCATGATGTATGTTGTTTGAAATCATGACATGTTGTGTGATTATTATAATATATATATATATATATATATATATAAATATATGTCGTATAAATTATTTCGATATTAACATCTAATTTCACGGATCAAGCGAGTTGAAAATTACAGATTTCATTACAACTCATATTTTCACTCAAAATTCTCTTGCGTAAACTTTTTTTTTTGTATGCATCCTGTCAATAGCACTTGGAAAAATCGCGTACGTAAATCCTTGATTCTTTCGGATTTTATATACGAACATCATCAAACTTGAAATTATCGTGAGCTATTTAAACGAAATTTTTATCATTTATCTGGCGCCATGTTTGGTTGGAAAATTCGTTGGTTCCCAGGCAAGCATATTTTATGCAAGTATTATGTTGACTTTTTTTTCGTGTTCCTAATAACGATTTTTTTTTTAATTAATTATGTCATCCTTAGTTCCGTTGTTTTTTTAAAAAGGCAACAGACCGTCATCGCATTGATTTTAGTACGACATCAATGCTCGAAAGAATAAATCATTTGTTTGAAAATAAATTTTTGCCATTGTAGTCAATGAATGAAATTTTTATTTTCTACTACTACTATTTTGTATTACGGACCAATTAATTTTTTATATCTTTAATTAATAGCATGAAACTGACTAACTAAATTTACCATTACTGCCACAACAATCATTTTTAGTAGCAAAACGTCATTTAAATAATAATTATTTTTTTCACAATTTCAGGCTGAGTATCATAAATAGATAGATGATGTTTCTTTATAATTGATTAGCCTGCCACTCGGTACAATTCTTCCTCGTGCAAAAAAACCCTGTTGTATACCAGTAAAATTAAATTTAAAGAAAATGCTGTCTCCTCAAATAATAAATTTGTCCCAGCCACAAATCCCTGTTGATCAACACCTCGCCTTTTTTATATAATCTAATCAGAATAGATATTTATATTTATTCATATTCATATGAAGATGATGTGATGATTGTAAATTGCCATATTCTTGGACATGGGCAACAATTCCTCCGCATGGAATTATCAACTGTCTGTTGCGTAAGATTCAATAACCAAATCAATCAAGGTTTTTTTGAAGACAAAAAAATGAACATTATAATCAATTGATGATGATGATATCGCAGAACAACAAATTTCACATTGTTATTTCTTTTTTCCATCAATACACATATACATGCATTAATCGGTCAATTTTTTGGTTGTTTAACGAGTTGTGTGTGCGTCTCAAAAGCTAATGGTTAAAACAAGTTGGTCATGTGATTATGAGTGTGAACTAAAGAAAAATTAACAATAAGCCTTTTTGGTGGATGTATGTTGAAAATCACACATTGAACTGCGTCAACCTATTACCCTTTCAATAAAAACGCTTGTTTATTTGTATATCTGCATTTCGACCTAAAAAAACTAATTTCATAAGCACGAGATCTTAAGATATAGTCGTGAAATCACATGAACAGCAAATAGGTTAATTCATATTTTATTTTTATTTTTTTTAATCTTGTAAATGTCATCAATATTATCGGCCTCATTATTATTTATTACTACTACCATTACTATTGCTGCAGTCACTGCGTCTTTATTCTGTCATCACTTCAACCATATGGAAATCCACTATAACGAGTTACATTATGACGAGGTTTAATTATAAAATTGGTTTCATCAGTTGGGTCTGGAACTATCATGTTATTGTGAAGTAATGTACGATGAGTTTTGGGTGGTTCTCGATCTGGTAAAATAACTCCTCTTCTTCCTCTAGTCTGTCTTCTTTTACGCCTATTACAAAAAAAATTTTTTTTATTAATATAAAACTTGTATATACACACACAAAGCGACACACACAAAAAAAAAAATCACAATTTTATACCTAGCATCTCTTTCTCTATCCTTTTCAATCTTTTCAATCTCTGCTTCGCTCAATTCGATCAAAACAGGTGTATATGTATCAACTGCATCCTCTTTACGAATAATGTTGGAAACTGGTGGCAAGAAACTTTGTCTCAGATCATCATCTTGTACTGACATGCCATCAAATGGATGTCCAACAAGCATCAACGATTTGACATATATTTGGATTTGTTCTCGTATAGAATGTGCTATTGCTGTTTTAAATTCACCTCCTAACCCCAATTCAGTTGTTAAAATTTCTGCAAATAATTCCGGATCATTCCATTGACAATTAATATCCCACTCAAATTGATCGGCAAAGGATATTTTTCCGACTGTTATATCCACCTTTATTTTGTATTATTAGAAAAGGAACATTTGGAAGAAGAGAGAGGATTAAATATTATTATTATATGTGCTGCCATGAATATAATATGTTTTAAAAATATCAATTGTACCTTTATCAAAATTCTTAATTCGTCATTAATAGTTGTACTTTTCTGATTAAATTCTAAATCGCTTATATAATCATCATCGTTAGTATTATTATTTCTGCTGCTGTTATTATTATCATCATTGCCATTATTATTTTTATTGCTATGATCATTACTATTGCTATGGTCATTACTATTGTTATTATCACCATCACCATCATCATTGCTATCGTTATTATCCAATAACATGTGATTATCTTCGCTCATCTTAGTATCCTTATATTTATTATTATTCCTATCGTTATTTTTATCATTATTCTTGTCATGATTTTTATCATCATCATCATCATTGTTGTTACATTTATCATTTAATGAGGCATACATTTCCATAATTTGTGGATCAGAACTTGGTGGTTCTTGTGATGCAGCCGGATGTATAATATAGCCTTGTATCTGATCTTGTATTTGTTTAACTATTAATGGTACAAATATTGCTGCTGGAAAATTGAGGTCATCACATAATACTTCGGCAAAATGTTCTGGTGTAATAAGCGTTTCTAATATAATTATGCGTGAAAAGTGAGTGAAATGTATATATACATACAAGTAAAAATATAGATCATTATTATTAATTATACCATTCATGTTCCATGTAAATGTATCTCGCAATTTATAACCGTCTGCTCCATCTATTTCTAACCTTATAGGTATCAATACATCTTCTTTCTCTGCTATATCACCTAATTGTTGAAGTGAACTAAATCAAAAAAAATTTTTTAAAAATCAAATAATTAATTATTCAATCAATTCATAAATTCACCAATAAACTCATCTACTTACAATTTAAATTCTCTTGTCCGCTTAGGTCGTTTCCTCTCGTTGGGATAGATAATACGAAACCTATTCCCAGTCGTCCCATTACCATATCCATCATATCCTGTTCCAAATGCTGTCACAGGCATCATCCTGGCTTGTTGATACTTTTGATCATGAAGAGTAATCTCCTTGCGTTTATCTATAATCAAATGGGATTGCCGTTCATGTTGTAAATCTAAAATTTTTTGATAAAGTTTATCACGACGCAAATATTGTTGCAAATATTGTTTTTGTACAGATGTAAGATCTGGCGCTGGTTCATATGTCGTTGATGATGTTGTTGTTGTTGTTGCTGTTGCTGCTGTTGATGTTGATGTTGATGTCGATGATGTTTGTGGTGTGGTTTTTGCTTTTGGTGTTGAAGTCAATGACGAGGACGAGGATGAGGGAGATGCGATCTCACTGCCAGCAGGAATTATTCTTTGCGGTATAGAACGCTGTTGCTGTTGTTGCTGTTGTTGCTGTTGTTGCTGTTGTTGTTGTTGTTGTTGATGTTGCTGTTGTTGTAATAATTGTGTTTGTGTTAATTGTATTGGATTTTGTGTATAGTTTGCAGTTGCTGTCGATTGTCTTAATTGTCGCTGATATTGTTGTTGTATTGCATATTGCATTTGTAGTCTTTGCCGTGGTGTTAATTGATTATTAATAATTTGTGATTGTTGAGGTTGACCTTGTATTTGATGTTGTTGAAGCAATTGTTGCTGTTGTAATAGTAACTGTTGTTGTTGCTGCTGCTGCTGCTGTAAATGTTGGCGTTGTTGTAATTGTTGCAATTGTTGAAGTGTTAATCCACTTGGTCTATTAACACCAGCAGTCATTTGATTTAACGCTCCTCCTCTATTCATTCCTTGTTGTTGTTGTTGTTGCTGTTGTTGTTGTTGCTGCTGCTGCTGCTGTTGTTGTTGTTGATTATTATTTAAAGATGGTATAGAGGAATATGGATCCATTTTTTAACAATTAAGTTGTATAGAGAAAATATAAAACAATTTTCAAAATAAAAAAACATGTGATCAACATTGTAATGCAAATTAGAATAAGAACCCTTTTTTTTAAATTGTCACTCATTATTTACTTCCTCCAAGAATTTAAAGAATATTTGAACTGCCTTCGATTATAATGCACATTTTACAATCTCTTTGTGCTCGAGATTGCATAACGCTTTAATTTTTCTATATCATCAAATTGAAACTTTTTTTCCACCCAAATATTTTAAAGTCTATTTTTGACTTTGATAAATAATGAATTGATTTAATATTGTAATTGTATTTATTATTGTTTAATATTAATATTTTTTTTCCTTGAAAGTATTTTCACATTCTTCATTATATTCATTATATGGAGCGTGGACAGATGGATTTGAGATAATGACATGAGGCCCAGAGCTTAGAAACATACCCCCTTTTTTCTAAAAAAAATTTGGCATTTAATAAGTTTATTTGAACTAGATTAAATAAACTTTTTTACTAGAGTTGGCCCAGTCTTTTGTTTTTTGAGACTGTGAGACCAGTCCTTAGATCAGTCTTTTAGAAAGGGGCATGAGGTTTTTTTATCAAATTATATTTTTTTAAAAAACATTTATATTGAAATAAAAATTATATTGATAACTCATTATGTATCCATGATCTTAACACAGGCTTGCATGAGCTGTATCAGGATCCAATCAATTCCTTTGACTTATAATTGTTTGTCCAGCAGTTGCTTTGAGGCCACACTTGTTGCTTGGACTGTTAAATAGCCACAAGTAACAAAACCAAAGAATAAGGATTACTCATTTCTTTGTGCATACCATCAATCAAGAGGCTCAATTTCATCTTCTAGTGAAGTTATACATGTGGGCGAAACCCAGTATCACTTAATCATCACATAATTATCATATAATTATATATATGGGGTGATTTCTAGCAAAATGTGGTTAGGAACATAATAAATTTTTTTAAGTAACAGCCCCTCAAAATCATGCTACACATATGTTTTTGATATTTATATTAATTTTCAAAGTCTTGTATCTCATTATTATGCTATCACCAGTTGTAATCCTTATAGTATACAGTAGATATATATTATGTAAAAAGAAACAATTCAAATATGCAACCTTTGATTATTGGAAGTTAGCAGATGTTGAAGTACACTACACTACCTTGAACACTACACATTCTCACATCTTCCTCATGTACACAAGACTAATCTGATCTGATGGACTGATGATATAATAATGCAACCAAATTCTGGGGTGAATATGTGGCCCTGGAGTTTATCAAGGCTGCATCAATTGTCAATGATGTTTTCACTAATCTTCCCTCATGGCACCTATACCAGAGAAGGCTGCTAGCATGTTAACCAAAAAGTTTCCTGTGATATCCTACTTCTAGAGTAAGGATGGCTCTGTGATTGAGAACTCTGCGGCATTTTGAATAGTTGTGATATTAGATGCACATAAACATCCAGACCCATCAAAGCAATGAGAATCTGCAAGCACAGGGAGGATGCAATTCAGAGCAGAGTTGGTGGCCTTGAAATTGCATTTGTGCTCTAATGTTAGGAGAAAGGCTGTAAAATAAAATGGTTCAGGTTTGTTTGGTATGTTATATATAAATTAATCATTACCAAATTTTCTTCTTAAATTTTTATTTAACCAACTGAACTTGTTTTTTAAATGGGGGCTTTTGCCCATATGACCTACCCTAAGTTAAAGGAGTGTAGCTCAATGAGATCATGTATACTATAAGTATAAAGGTGGCAGTTTGACTCTGCCCACTCCTATTGTGATAGTCACCATGAACACTCACATCAGGGAGAAAGCTGTAAAATAAATGGTTTAGATTTTGTTTGGTATGTTATAAATAAATATGGCTCCTCAATTAATTGCAGCATATAAAAAATTGATTGTGGTTGCAGTTGTGGCATATGAAAATTGAATTGTGGCTAATTGCAGTCCCATCTTTAGTTATAAATTAATCATTTTCATAAATTCTCCATGTCTTTAATTTTATTTATTATTTAAATTGGGGATAAGGTTGTTGATGAGTAGGTGTGTCACCAACAAAACAGCAATCCAGGTCTCAAAATTCTGAATTCAGGGAAAATCCAAATCAACAACTCAGGTTGCAGCCTCCTGAGTTGGAGAATTTTGAATTGGTTGCTGACACTAACTTTATATTAAAGGGTAATAACACAAAGCAATCATCACACAAATGTTGATCTTCATCAGTGATCAATGTCCACATGGAAACAGCTGGCTTGGTCTGGGAGGAAGATGGGGAATTTTGTCCAAAGCATTCCAATATGATCAACATTACCATACTGTATAATGATCAGTGACTATACATTACATACATGGTAATAGGAGTTTATTATTATATTAAACTATTCAAATTAATGACAGGCTGTTTGTTACTATTAATCCTTGCTGATCAATTGGTTTTGACTTCTAAATACTGGCATGAGTTATGAAAAATGTAATACATTACCTGTTTCTGTAACCCCCAATATTAACCCCATTTTATTATTAATTATCTAGATTAGGAAACCTCCACAAATTTGGTCATTGTGTTAATCAGTATCTTTTTATGGATAGAACGTTGTCACTCACATTAGGGGTAGAGTATACATAACACAAATTTTACTATGATACAGTGGATAATTTTTTGGCTATTGGTCATTAACATATTAATGTAGTCATAATAACATTCATTATATAATAGTAATATCAGGGTAGAAAAAAATATTTTATTTGTAATATCACCTATTGAAAGTGGGTGATGAGAGAATGAAAATTATAAGTCCAATAATTAACACTAAACAATAAATGAAAACATTTAATACAACATTGTCCTTTTATTCCCCATCCTTTACATCCTTTAGCAAACAAATAAATAAACAGGCTGTATTTTGCTGCTTTTTCTCATTTCCTTATTTAAAAATAAATTATAATGTTAACACTTTAATTCTCAATATTATATTAATTATATTAATTATCTTCACCAAGTAAAATTATAGGAAGCACTCACATGTTTAAAAGTAAAAAGAAAATTTGATATAACTTCCACGAAGAATAAGCAGAACAAATAGTATATGTAGAATAGATAGAGATATATTGTTGTCTTGTTATTGACTTCCACTACCATCCCTCAACTTGTCTAGTTGATAGTTATGTTTTCAAAAATTTTATTTTTAAATTAGAATGTTTTTAATGCTTCAAATTTACACATGAATAAAACTAATACCATTTACCTTGAGAACTCATTGGCAAAGAATTAAAAATAAATAATTTTCCTTTGAGATTTAATAATATATTTGTTATAAAAATTATTGTTTCTATAAAATATATCTTATATTAATACATATAATAAATTCTATAATGATTAGCATGCATTGATAAAATATTTATAATTTAATTAGAATTTATATATTCACTTACAGTTTTACTATTCTTAATCAGTGTTTGTATATTGTTTAATTAGCATTCACTTAGCGTTTCTATACGTTCATTTATAATTTTACTATGTTTAATTAGTAATCTGAGAATTTTAATTAGTAATCTGAAAATAGGTTTGACTTTAAAGTTGTAATAACTCTAGCAAGAATAGAATAATTTTTTATGGTTTGTATATTAAATTAAAACTCAGAATCTTGAGAAGCTAAAGATATAAAATTTGTACAATTTTATTTATTTTTTATTTGTCTTTAATATGTGGCTTACTTTTTTAACCAGATAAAATCAAAATTAGCCATTGTAGATCATAGTAGATTCATGTTATGATAAAGGGAAACCATATGCAATGGACAGTCACGGATTCTGAATAACATCTGAGCAAATGCTTCAACATGAACTGGAGTGATGATATTAGTAATGCCTATAACTGCATCAAAATATCCAGAGATTTCAAAAGAGATGCCAGCTTCCACAGTACTTGTATAAATTACACAGTCAAGAGAACTCCAGGTGGCATCAATATTAGCAAAATCATCTTGGCGTTGCTTCCCATCCATTTGACCAAAATAAACTCGTGGTAAAATGAATGAACCATCAGGTTTTTGCAACTTAGATGCTTGATTAGCTAAGGCTCGAGCCTTTTTACAGGATGTCATAACAAATGCAACATGCTTACCTTCTTGAAGCATCTTAAGACCTCTATGTATAGCTTCTGAACCTTTATCTGGATCGTAAAGAAGTTTAACAATTTCTCCTCCATGTGGTTGATATTTGTTATCAATAACTCGAACATTCTCACCCCAATAGGATTTTAAGAAAGCTAAAGTTGAATCATTTGCAAACGCATCCATGGTAACAACATGAGTAGCTACATTTAACAAATCACGCATAGCATTGGAAGATTCTCAAGCATGAACTCTGCTAGCCATTTGACGCATAGTAGCATTGGCTTCATCTAAAATTGCTATGCAGGAACAACTTCCTTGAAAATCAAGACGAAGAATACTTTCAACTTGTACAATAATAAGATCCCACTCACGTGTCTTTAGGTTGGCCACAATATTCTGATATTGCCCTACTTTGAAATGGAATTTTTCTAATTCTTTAAGTTTAGCTTCGGATTCATTACTAAGGGTTTTATGATATGAAACCCAGATAGTACAAGGTAAATTGGCACCACTTTGAGCTAAAGATGCCAAAATCTTTCTTAATGTTTTCGTTTTCCCAGTACCTACAGTAGAACAAATAAGAGTGGTGCTAGGCTCTTTACTTAAAAAGTCTGGAAAAACATCTAAGGCATCCTCCATTTCTTTTACATTAATACTTTCTCCAGCTAATTCAGGAAATTGATGTGGGGTTGATACAGCCTTAGGTAATCTTTCAATT